ATCCGATTAATTTTTAAATAAAAGAAATTGAAAATTTATTATTTTAATTAAAAAACAGTAAATTTTACATTTTTAAATAAAAATAATAATAAAGTTGATATCATTATCCATACATTTTCTCAAACCAGAATCTTTGCTGTATTTTACATATTTTATGATTGTGATTCAAACGCATTAATTTTTTATTTTCTCATATATATACTTTTAAGTGTTTATTTATAGTCAATGTTAGATTAGCAGTTAGATTATACTTTTTCCATTCAACTTTAGTAGGTTTAGGTTTAGGTTTTTTTAATAAAATAAAGATATAATAATTTTTTTATACTAAACTCCTCAATATTTAGAAATTACATTAAATCTTAACTAATACAGAGTCAAGTCGTATCGGACCCTATAAAAAGGAATTTCCCTCGATGCTTATTTTTTCATTTGCAATACTCTAACTTAAGAATTTTTTTAAAAGAACTAAATTCTTTCTAATCAAATCAACATGCCATTAATATAAAGGTATAATAATTAATTGATAAAGTTGTATATTTATTCTTTTATTTAATTTATGTTGTACTTATCTTTTTAAAATAAAGATAAAATATAAATTAGCGCATTGAATGTTATCTTAAAAAAGAAAAAGTGAACTTCTGAATGTTTCAAATTAAAAATTAGATCTATTGAAGTTGAATAATAGTAAATAATCAATATTTGATGGGTTGTTTATTATCCACACCATTTTTTATTTTAAGTTATATAATGGAAAACAATTTTTTCTCTTTTTTTAACTCACTTACCCCCATATTATTAGATTTGAACTCAAAATTTCTTATTTTAAGTGATTTACATAATCTATATCCTTTAACACCTCTTTTTATAAGTTATAAATCATTTTTTGGTAAAATCATACAATTATAATTGGCCAAAGCCCCTATTTGCACCCTCTATTTATTTCTTTTCCGGGGTCAACACCTTCCAGAATTTTTTCTCTCTATTCACACCTTTCACCTTTCAAAACCCATAAAAAACCTAACATTTTAACGGACCGTCACAGCACCGTTAAAAAATGCACTACGTGGCATCCAAAAATTGACGTGGCACATACGACGTTTCCTTATTCGTTAAATTCAGACGTGGATTTGCTTTTTGATGATGTGGCTTCTTTTCTGCACGTGTTGACGCCACATGTGCAGTGGGATCCACGTCCCCCCCACCAAAAAAAAATTGAACAGGAGCAGTGGGGCCCACTACACAGGACTTCTGCGTCCCCCCCCACCAAAAAAAAAAAAAAATTTTGAACAAAAGCTCTGGGTTCCTCGCCGAACCCAACTGGGTTCCTCGGTTCCATGAGGAACTCGACTCTGGGTTCCTTGCGACAAGAAACCCAGATCGGGTTCCTCCCTCTGGGTTCGGGAACCCAGAGCAAATTTTTTTATTTAAGTAAACCACATCATCAAAAAAGACATCCACGTTGAATTACTAACGGCATATATTGGCCATGTCAATTTTTGAGTGCCACGTAGTACATTTTGTAACGGTACCGTGACGGCGCGTTAAAATGTTGAGTTTTTTACGGGTTTTGAAAAATGAAAGGTGTGAATAGAGAGAAAAAATTCTGGAAGGTGTTGACCCCGAAAAAAAAATAAATGAAGGGTGCAAATAGGGGCTTTGGCCATTATAATTTATAAAGCTAGTGATTAGTGAAACGTCTGATTGGACAAAAAATTGAGGTCCAACAACATGGAGCTTGTGGTTTTAAGGTCTCCAGTCCCATGGCTTAGTTTGACAATTATCTTGGAACATGAGTCCATCTGTTCATGAAACAGGAAATGCTAAAGGAGTGCACTGCGTGAGAAACAGCTGGACGGGTACCGAAGTAGACAAGTAGCTACAACAGAAGAAGCAAAAATGAATAAACCAATATGTGGTCCCTTTGAGCTGTGGCCTCATTTTACCACATCCACAAGATATGTAGTCTTTAGGTCTGACTGAGGCCATGCTTATTGCCATTTATAATTTTGTTAGGTTTATTAAAATTGTTAAAATTTTATTTTATTTTATTATTAAAAATAATTTATAATTAATATTTATTATATAATAAATTAAAATCAATTTATAAACAGACTAAAACAACACATTTTTTAGTCTTTCAACTGCGGCAATCTTGTGAATTTGTGACCAAATTAAGAAAAAAGAAAAACATGTGTCTCACATGCTCCTTGCTTTGTCACTTGCTATCCAAAA